CCGGTGTGCGTGTGTATGAATCATGCCGTTGTCTTCCCGCGATCATCACTGGTACCTGAAACACATAACATATAACATTGTAAGCATAAATGCTTAGTGAGTTCCCTAAAAAACCACTCTAACATATAATAGCCACTCGAGGCTGTAACTCTGTTGACCCTCAGGTCTATGTGTCTCAGTGGGGCCCTCCAGCCCCAACTCTCTATGGGCCCTCTTGCCCTAACTCTGTGGACCCAAAGCTCCTAACACTGTAGACCCGAAGGTCCTAACTCTGAATCATACATAGTACATATCAAAATAAATCATAGAACATAAATAACATGCAATTACACTGACATATAACTCTAAAATACTCTATCACATAACTCTGTTACCACACTAGGTAAAGTATAGTGAGAAGACTCACCTCAGGCATCTCGGTAAATCTCTGACTCGGTAGAAATATTGCCTAGTCTTCGCCTATTCACATAAAGTAAATACTCTTATAAATATAACTCTCGAGACTAGACTCAACCTGCCATTGGCACCCTCAGGAGGGTAAAAGGCTATTTTACCCCCCCCCCCCCCTCTCGACGCAAGTACTCCATTGACCAAACCCTAAAAGTCAACGGTCACACTTTGACCCTACTCGCCGAGTGCACCCTGGTGACTCGGCGAGTTCACACATGTTCTATAACACTTTGCCCCGCTTGGCACGCCGAGTCCCTCCCTATGCTTGACAAGTCATACTAGCCATGAATCGCGGGGCCACCACGACTCAACTCGCCGAGTCTCAAGAACAACTCGGCGAGTACCGCCTTGAACTCCAGTCCTCTAACTCCCTTCTGACTCACTGAGTCATCCCCCAACTCGGCAATTCTACTCACTGAGCAATTTACGTGAAACCCTAACCCTACTCGTCGAGTTTCAGGAACAACTCGGCGAGTTCATGCCATGCACAAACTCTACTGACCTCCTGAGGTCAAATCTGTTTCCCTAAATCAAAGATCTGGCCTTCCCAAGCATGAATGTCACGTAAAGTTCGAAACTTGATGCTTGTATAACAACAACAAGGCATCAAAAGGAGATTTAGTCCCAAAAATGGCAACCTAAGTCCAATAACCCCAAATTGATTCATAAAGCTCTAAGGGTTAAGGTCTCTGGACCTCTTTGAGTCCAGATCCAAGGCACAAACTCTAAGAGGGACCATTTTCTCCACATAATCACTCTCCAAAGGGGGTTAGAAAACCCTAACTCTAATGATCAACACCAAAATTGAAGGAGGTTCGAACTATTACCTCAAAATGAAGTCTCTGAACTCTTGAACTGCTAGAATCGCACCTCCCCTTTGCTCTTGTTCACCTCCTTCTTGCTAAACCAAAGGTACAAGGATCAAAAGTGACTTCTTCTTTCCCACAACGATTTAGCTCACTTAGGGTTGTCTCAAAGGGCTGGTAGCCACAATGGGAGGCTATAAGTGCCCTTAAATAGGTTCCAAACCTGGGAGATTAGGGTTTCATTAAACAGTGTGGACTTGCCGAGTCCATAAATGGACTCGCCGAGTCCGGACATGAACCCGGATGAACATTCGCGACCCTACTCGGCGAGTCTTGGCTCCAACTCGCCGAGTTCCTCCACAAACTCCAAAATAATTAAATAAAATAATATACCTGGAAATCCGGCTGTTACAATTTTGATGTAATTTAGTTTCTAATTGTATTTTAAGCTCATTATCATAGAAGTGTAAAAAGGTTTTGTCAGAAAATGTTTTACTACCATTTTAGCCATTCAAATGTTATGTTATTTGGCTCATTCTTAAAGAATGGTAAGATATTTGTTCTTACTAAATACCTTAAGCTTTCATGATTTTAAGACTCTTTATTAGTTTAATTATGACATGGATTCTATTCAGTTGTTAAAAAAATATGGCACGAATTCTCATAGAATAACATTCAAACAGAATGACATTCTGATTGAATAAAAAAATCAGATTTTTATAATTAAGAGAATCATTTATCCCTTAAAATTCGAAATTTTCCTTATTTAAATATAACTTGAATGACTAAAATACCCTTACAATGGATTTTGTATGATTATATAGTACATGCTATTCCATTATAATATCATAGACCCTCAAATCATAGACATTAATTACTTTTCATCCGTTGCTCCGGAATTATCCTTACAACCATACAATAGATCACGTCCACATTATAACTTAGCCTATATATATATATATATATATATATATATATATATATATATATATATATATATATATATATATATATATATATACCATAAAACTAGAGTTATCATGTTGTTCTTTTTTACTGTCTAGATTAAAAAAAAATATTCGTTTATTTTATATATATTCGTTAAAGAAACTTTTTGTTAACATAATTTATTAGTTCCTTCATAGAATAATTTATTATTATATTAAAAACAAATGACATAAAATGAAAATCAAATTGGTAAACATTGAAAAAAAGTTTTTAAGAAAAAACACTTTTATAACATTTTTTTTTGTTTTTTTTCTTCCAATTATAGTATTGTATTTTAAACAATTTTATAACATTTGATTTTTGTTATTTTTATTCCAATTATAACAATAACTTAATTTTGTTTTTCTTTCCAATTATATCATCCTACTTATACAAAAACCATATACTTTCACATAATACATAAGAGCATCAAATAAACATACTATCACATACATATACCACATATACATCAAATACACATACATTCACATACATACATAATAACATCCTACTTATACGAAATACACATACTTTCACACACACACACACACACACACACACATATATATATATATATATATAATAACATCCTACTTATACTAAATACACAAATTTCACATTCATATACACCAAACTTACATAGATTCACATACATGGGCGAAGCTACTTTGAAGGTAGGTAGGTCATAGGAGCTACCTATTTTTCTTAATATTAGTAATATTAATATAAGATATATATGAAAAAATTGGTGAACAATCTTATTAGTGTTATAGGACCTACCATGTAGTTTTTGGTAAAAAAAATAAAAGTACGTCAACCTAAATTTTATATATTATAATCAACTTAGAATAGTCGACCATCTCAATCCATTTAAAATTTATTCATTAGGCAATAGATCAATCCATTTAAAATAATAAATGAAAACTTCACGGAATGTGATCACTGATTGACATCTCCTAACGTTTGGCGCCTCATAAAGTTCTTGCATGTCTAATCGATATATCTCACTCTCTGTCGTCTGGCGAGGCTACCAACAACCATTGTCCTTTCACTGGGCGCCACTTCCTCTTGCTCATATTTTATATATTTCAGTTTTGTGAATGATAGTTTAATTTCATGTATTGAAATTTTTTTTGTGAAAGTATCGATAGTGATAGAGTTAAAATGTAAAACTATTATAAATATTGAAGTTGTGTTTAAGGCATAAAACCCGACCGAACACCATTAGTGATTTTTACTCTTTTATTTTTTTAGTTTTATTTACATAAGAAACCACGTGGTTTTTGGTTCTAGATTCGCCACTGTTCACATATACACCAAACATACATAGATTCACATATGCACATTCATATACCACATATATCCACCAATTACACATATATACACCAAACTTACATAGATTCACATACATATATCAAATATACACATATTGCATACATAAAAACATCAAATATACATTTCATACAAATATGCATATACAAAAATATGTGTAATTTCCAAATAGGCACAAATACACAATTTTTTTGTAAATAATCTCGAAATTAAAGGAGAATGGTAACAATGGTTGCCGAAAATAAACAATGGTGACCAGAAAATCAAGCTTCAATCGTCGGTGACATAGTAAAAAATACTAAAAACTGAAAAATATCATTTTTCAGAAAGAAATAGAGAAATGATGAAAGAGATGCTCACTATTGCTGGTGAAGCTTTCAAATCATTGGTAGTAGCTGAACTGTCACCGAAATTGGGTGGCAAACATCTGTTGTGGTTGCTGGCCAGTGGTTAAAGGCGGAGGAAGGGAGAAGTTTATACTAGAGAACAATCGCCGGTTAAAGCTCGAGAAAAAACATGTGAATCAAAAGGAATAAGCAGGAAGAAAGAAAGGGATACTGATGATGGGTCTTATTCCATCGACCTTTAACGGTGACACTCAATAGCGGCGACGATTTGGTATTAGCAGTGACCATTTGGTATTAGCATCGACATCAAAAGAGGGAATTTATCATGCTTCTCATTTTCACAACCTTTAGCGGCGACAATTTATCTTTAGCGGAGACAAAATTTCGCTGGTATTGAAGTTGTGCGAGAATAGCCCCTAGCCATTGGATTAGAACGTTGATCCGACGGTTGAGATTTACCGGAAGGGGTAACCACGGATTCAGATCGTAGAGCATTACTGGTGATGTTATTAGCGACGACACGGAGCTTTAATGGCGACTCAACGCCTCTAATAGCGTCGTCGGGTAATGACCAGATTTCTTGTAGTGTCGGTTTAATCCATTTGCGTTTTACAGACTATTTTTGTAATTGATCAGTTTTTTTTTTTTTTACTATTTTCTACAAATTTTGATATATTTGTAATTTTCTCTTATTATAAATTATTATTTCAAAGGTAATAATGACAATGTAATTACTTAATTTAATAAAATATAAATTTACATATATTAATTAAATAACCGCATCCTACACAATATAATATACATTGTAAATAGAATTGTTTTTGAATATGGAAACTTACAATTCACATTGTAACTTGCTAAAGAAATATACCTTAAACATTGTACAAAAAATGTTAATGAAAATTAATAAACATTATAACATGCAAAGTATTAGAAATAAGAACTAATTAAGAACCACTCAAGACTAGATTAGATGATGTGAGGCCAAGACTTATTTTTGGAGATGGGAAGGGATTAGGGAAAAAATTTACAAACGATAAAGTTCGGGCTGTATCTCTAAATCATGAATGCATAATCTTTATGACTTGGTTTCTGAAGTAGATGGATGATTAGTGGGTGTGTCATATCGGGGTGTAGGCATATCTACGGGGACTTGAGGAGGAATGACATTTTCTAATGCATGAATTACTCCTTCTATGGTTAATCTCTTACTTGGATCAGGGTGTGTACATGACAACCCTACAGTCATCAAACAATTGTATTGTTTCTCATTAACGTCATGCGATATCCTCTTGTCAACTGTTAAACGAAGTTGCTTCTGTCCGTATAAATGCCAAACCCATTTAACTAAATCCATGTTAGAGACTTGGTTCTCCACACTTCTCCCACTCCCAATTTCCAATACAGTGACACCAAAGCTATACATATCTGTTGCCTTGCTAGCTTTACGTGAAGTAACATACTCGGGTGCGCAATACCCCAAGGTTCCAGCCAGTTTAGTAGTTTTTGAACCTTGCTCATTGCTATCCTTTAGTCGAGCTAAACCAAAATCTCCAAGCTTCGGATTCAACTCTGAGTCTAACATCACATTGCTTGGTTTGATATCTCTGTGAATAACATATTTTTCACCTTGCTCCTCATGCAGGTGACGTAATGCAGACGCCAAACCCTGAACTATTTTATATCGATTGGACCAACCAAGAGGGTTTTTATTGCCAAAGAGATAAGTATCAAGACTACCATTCGGCATAATTTCGTATATAAGCAAGAACTTACCCTCCTCTTCGCACCAACCTACAAGTTCCACCAAATTAGGGTGTTTCAGTTTGCCTATGGTTGCCACCTCAGCAGCACACTCATTTTCTCCTTGTGTAGAACCTTCGGAGATCTTCTTCACCGCAACCTCGTGGAGGAGTGGAATTGGAAGACGTCCCTTGTAAACACCACCAGAACCTCCTTCTCCCAACTTATTATCATCGGAGAAGCCGTTTGTTGCGAAATGCAGATCAGAGTAAGAATATTTCAATGGTGCAGACCTTCCTTCGCTTTCAATATCAGCACTACTGGATTTTTTGATCAACTTATTTTTCTCTTGTGTCGATTTCTTGGTTCTTCTTCCTTTACCTTTGATCCAACTGCCCTTCTTGAAAAGAATGAACACCAGAATGCCGATGAATATTGTGGCTATGACCATACCTATGATCACACCTATGGCACCAGGAACTAAGTAACCAACTTTCGATACACCTGATCTCTCTTCCGGGCTTCGCCATTTACCATTTAAGCTTGAATCGAACTCCCAATATAAAAGTGTATTTTTCTCTTTAAGGTTGCCAGTGCCAGCGGAAAAGCCTATGGTCACCCATTCAGTGAGAACCTCCTTAATGTCAACATGATATGAAACGCTTGAAGTTTCTGGAGTAGGATTATTGTAGGTCCAAGATACTATCATCATCATTGTTTGAGAACTATAAGAGATTGTAACGTCAGCAACATCAACGCTGTGATTACCAGCACTCCAAGCGGTGGTGTTAGCTGAAAAGATGGAATTCTTGTTTATCCCAACATGCTCATACAGAGGATCCCATTGAGTGTCAACAAAACTGTCGAACTCGACATGGATCATGTGATTTTGGGACGACTCTCTGTAATTAGATAAGTTATAAAGACCAAGAAAGGAACCAGCAGAGTTGGGTGGGATTTGGAAATCCGCGGGGCCAAGAAAAAATGCAAACCCGTCTCCATAGTTGGCTTGATCGTCGGTGTCAATGGTGAAGGAGAATCGTGTAGTGAAATCTGCGACTTTCCCTGAGCTGGAATCCCACATTTGAACTCTATCGGCATAGATGGCTTGGCCTACTTGGCACACGTAATTCACAGGGTTCAATTGAACGGCACCAGAAGAAGGCGCAGCACTTCCTCTATATAGGATTTGGTTATTGTTTGAAGTAAAACTTGAGATTTTGAAATAAAGGGAGCTAGCAAAGGGTGTAAAAGTAAGATAGAACATGTTGCTATAGAAGAAAGTAATAAGAACATGCATCAGCTGCCCCATTGACGTTGTCTAGAAGCTAGACTAATTAAGTTACAGATTTATGTACCAAGCTAGAAACTAGCAAACATGTCTTGTTTTATAGACAATCCTTGCCGATCATGTAAATTTATTTTGATGCTTATTTACGTTTATGAGCTGGCATGGTGAGACGAACAATGAAGGATTACAAGAATACTTTGTAGAATATAGGTTTCTCAGAGTTTGTCTGATATAAGATGAAATAATTAATACTATATTGTAGTGAAAGTAAGGGACAACTATATTAAAGTCCCTACATATTGTCCTCATAATCGATTTAACTCTTATATATATTTTTTATTCAATTAAGTCTCAAATACCGGTAATCGTATTCAATTTAACCCTTTGATCCGGTCAATAGGTCATCCAACTTTCAAAAATTATATTTTCGGCCCAGATTTCAAAATTTATTACAAATTTGGTTCAAATTTTACATTTTCGGCCCAGATTTTAAATTTTTTTTACAAATTTGGTCCAAAATTTACACTTTTTGCCCAAATTTTAGAATTTTAGTATGAATTCATCATAACTTTAGTCTTTTTTACAACTTTTTTTTCTCAAAAGTTTGTTTCTAATATGTTTTTTCTTTAAAACTCATATTTATACAAAAAAAACATATTTTCACATAAAAATCTTATTTTTTCTATATAAAACTTTTTTGTATATGAAATATCTAATTATAAAAATAGGTTTAGTTTATTTGTGTGACTTCTTTTAAAAAAATCAATTAAGAAATTAAAAGTAACTTTAAATTATACTATTAAATTATAGTTTGTTAAAAACTAGTTACACTAGTTACTTTAAATTAAAAGTAACTCTAAATTATACTATTAATATAGATATTTTAATATGTGTTCTATTTAGTGTGTATTCTTTTTTTTTTTCTATGAGATTTTAATATAGTTGTTTATATGTATTTTTCAATCTGTTGCATCTTCGTAAATTAAATCACACCTTTGATCACATATATATGACAAAAGGTATGTAAAGTTGTTCTAATCTCATACATGACAATCCATATTGATTTCAGTAAGAGTTGTAAACTATCAACGTTTGTAATACTTTTTTACATTTGTTAAATGTCATTTTCTGCCAAAAACCTCCTTATCGAAAAATAACAATTGCTCCATTCTAATAGTTATTTTTTGTTATTACAACAAACAAAATTGACATATGAATCCGATTTTACAAAGAAGTTTAAATAAAGAAATCCAAAGTGATGATGAACTATATGTATGAACATGTATTCAGCGAGAAACAAAAAATATGAAGTTTTCAATATGTAGCATCTTCTATTATTTAAACTTTTCCTATAAATGTGATTAAAGAACAAATAAATAATATTAAAATGAGTGTAACTAGTTTTTCACAAACTATAATTTAATAGTATAATTTAGAGTTACTTTTAATTTTTTTAATTGATTTTTTAAGAGAAATCACACAAATAATCCAAACCTATTTTTATAATTAGATATTTCATATTCAAAAAAGTTTTTTAAAAAAGTTTTTATATAGAAAAAATAAGATTTTTATGTGAAAATATGTTTTTTTGTATAAATAAGAGTTTTAAAGAAAAAACAAATTAGAAACAAACTTTTGAGAAAAAAAGTTGTAAAGAAAACTAAAAGTTGGATGAATTCATAATAAAAATCCTAAAATTTGGGTAAAAATGGTAAATTTTGGACCAAATTTGTAAAAAGATTTAAAATCTGGGCCAAAAGTGTAAATTTTGGACCAAATTTGTAATAAATTTTGAAATCTGGGCCGAAAATGTAATTTTTGAAAGTTTGATTACCTGTTGACTGGGTCAAAGGGTTTAATTGAATACGATTACCGATATTTGGGAATTAATTGAATATATATATATATATATATATATATATATATATATATATATATATATATATATATATATATATATATATAAGGGCTAAATCGATTATGAAACCAATATGTAAGGACTTTATTGCAGTTTTCCCTGAAAGTAATATCATTATTAGAATGTTCTTTAGTTTGGCAAGTGATTGTCATGAGATATATAGAGATGTGAAATTTAAAAAGAATCTAACGCAAGATTAACGTGTTTCTCCTCGCCTCCCACCACTTTCATTTAGGGTCTCGCTACCATCTCCTATGTCGATGAACAGTCTTCTTCTTCAACAATTAGTAATGCAATACACGAGGTTATTTCAAGTGTATCTTCCACCTTTTGTTTCTTCTTTTTCATGCGAACTTCTGATTGAACAAAAGCTACCAAAATTATCGATTATGTCTGTGAACATCACCAAAATGATCTTTTAGGATTGCTTCTACTTTCTTCTTTAGGTATGTTGTGGTCGAAGTTGATCTAGAATATCTGTCTGTTTTTATGTCTCTTGATTTACTACATTTGGCTTACTTATTTTTTATGGTTTATCTATGTCGACTTTGCCAATGTTAATACAGATAACACATCAATTTTATAATCGGGTCTTCTCTACTAACTGAAAACAGCATTTATCAATTCAAGTCAGCCCACCTTACTCTGCAAATTTCAATCGATTATTCATGTGTGGAGAAGGAAAAGGGGCGGTGACCAAAGTGCAACAACGAATTCAAAAAATTGACCAGCTCTTAGCTCTCCGATCATAGAAGACGCCTTCATCACAATTTCTTCTCCTCCCACATCTTCTTCTCTCTAGCCACCGCTGCCAGCCCTTCGATCTCCACCGCTAGCACTCCAAACACCACTGTTATCGTTGTCGACTCAGCTTCCGATCTCCAATCTCCACCACCGCCAACACTCCGATTAGGTAATGAATTTATGTTTTCTGGTTATCATATATGTCCATAAATGTCTATATTACCATGTCTGGTTATTTCGATTTTGTGGTTATTGTCATGGTTTGCAATGCCAAAAATTCTCATTTTCTGATTATCATATTGTCTGTTGTTCGCTATCTGCTCGCACAAATTTCTACCAAATGTTTGCAATGGAAAAGATTTTTGGTTAATCTTTACTTGTGAATGATTTTTGTGTCTCAAATTTGCCACTTCAAATTGGAATCTCATAAAGAAATGTGTTACATCCTTAAAACTTTTGTGTCTGATTTCTGAATTATCTGATTTGCCATTTCTTTTCAATGCTAGAAATACTAAAGAAAGGCTGATCAGCTTATAGTTTTTTCCTAACACATAAGCTAATCCATAATATCAATCCACTCATTTTAGGTTTTTAAAACCAGGTTCTAAGATTCATGCAAGAATTTTATTATACAAAGGAGGCAACAACAAATGCCGAGTTGTTTGGAAGTAATTTCAAAGATCTTGATTATGTAAAAGTCCCAAGCATATATTAGGAATGCAGCATTCCATTTGTTAATATTTAAGTAAAAATATGAACTAATCTTGGATCTTATTATGTTATCAAAGTTTTTTCTTATCCCTTTTGGCTCAATAGTTTGATTAGAAATACTGAGAATCTTACAAATGTCTAAAACTGGAGTCTAAATTGATAGCAAACAAACTAACCACATCTATTTGAATATCAAAATTGAACCCTTACTATTGTCAACTTTCAAAATCTGAAGTTCATCTCCACTCATAAATAACTTAATTCTACCATTGGGGGTTGACAAATATATGTTTTAGTTGTGAACAATTAGATGATTTGACTAAATATATATCTTCTTTTGCATTATATTGGTTTGAAACAAACGCAAAAGGTCAAGAAAATTTCTGTAAAAGCTAATTACGAAAGCATGGAGTCAGAATCAAAGTTGGTGTGTGTTTTGTTCGTGGATATGGCAACACTTGCACCTTTTTGTTTGAAGGTATGTGGTTACACTTCATCATCTATGTCTTATATAATCATGAAATTTGATTCTTTATCTTTAAATTTAGTGATATAGTTGACAATGTAATCGAACAATATACAAAAATTAAAGGTACACCTATTGTCTAAATTTATTAAAAAACTTTTATAAAATAGTATTTATTAAGTACATAAAAAGTATTTTGTGTTCATACAAATACATATATATATATATATATATATATATATATATATAAACACATATTATATAAAAAAATGTCTACAAACACCTACTTTATAATAAATGCATATATATATATATATATATATATATATATATATATATAAAACATATTATATAAAAAAATGTCTACAAACACCTACTTTATAATAAATGCATATATATATATATATATATATATATATATGTGTGTGTGTGTGTGTGTGTGTGTGTGTAAAGGCTTATTTGAGACCACCTATATTCTGTGAGACATCGGGATCAAATCTAAGCCTTTGATCAAAAGTGATCTTGTGGCTCATAAGAAAACATGATTAACACTAATTAATCTAAAAGATTAGTTAATTAGGGGTAGATTAGTCACTAGGTTAAATTTTAGATCATCAGATATGATACATACTGTTAAGATTATCTTCACGTCATCACAAAACTTAGATGCTTCGATTCTTTCTAACAATTCACTCTATTCGATTCTTGAAAAAATTCTCTTAAACTATACATGCATTTTACCTATTTGATGAAAGTTCTGAATGAATAAAGTTTCTGATCTATCACCCCTTCCTTCCCATAAATAAAGTCCTCTTTAAGAATGAGTATGCTTCTAAAGTATGAGTTAGAATTGGAGTAAATAATTCGATATTAACTAACTTATTGACTTCAATATTAAATATATGATTGCATAATCCCTACTCGTTTCTAAAAATTCTTTCAATTTTGTTTGTAAAGAATTTTAGATGATGAAACCTATCTTGAAAGGAACCTAAATATTTCAAACTAGAAGTTTTTAACAGCGGGTGTTGAGATTAATGAATCTGTAATAAATTTTGTAATTACAACCATGCAATAGATTTTTTGTGGCTTCTAGTGCAATGAAATCTTAATATAACTTTGTAAGACTCTTTTGAAAGTTATTAGCCCTCCTTATATCTAACAATGTAACCTTATGATCAAATTTTTATAGCACAAATTTGAAATGTGGTTTTCAAACTATCAGGTTGTTAAAATATTTTTCAACTTTTAAAGATGAAGTTGTTATTCATTCTAAAAACTTTAATTTCATTCTATTAAAGTATATGGTTCTTATTGGTTTGAAAAGCTTGTTATTTTAGTTTCCAAAAGAGTTAAAGGGAAAGGTGGCTTAGATTAGAATATTTCACCATATACTAAAGTATTCCATCTTATAACATAATTTTAAAATATTACACATTAATACCATAATATTATACATAATTTCATAATATTATACATTAAAATTTGAAAATTTTGTTTTCTGTAAATTATTTGGATTTTCTATAAATCATTCTAGATATTTTTGTTACATTATAAGTTTTAAATTTAGAATATTACATATATTATTAATATCTTATATAATATAAGTTTATTTTACACAGAAAAATCTTATTTTAGAATATTATACTTTAATATCAGATGACACACAATTTCATACTATTAAATATTTATATATAGTTTAATTTTGAAGCCGCTTAGTGAACAGAACTCTGTTCTCATCGGTGGTTTTATTACATTTAGTGGACTGCTTTAAAAAAAATTTATTTTTTTTACCTTATCATTGTCAATTTTATATCGTTTTATTTATCTAAGTCATTGGTTGGAGAACGGTCCAATTGCTACGTGTTTCTTTCTTCTCCACTGGACACGTGTATGTGCTGATTTTGCGATGATACGTGTTTCTCCTCGCTTCCCACCACTTTCATTTGAGTTCTCGCTTCCATCTCCTATTACCACATGTATTGCTCCCTTCACAATCACACCGTCACAACCACCACCACTATGTCGATGAACAATCTTCTTCTTAAACAATCAGTAATGCAATACATGAGGTTATTTCAAGTGTATCTTCAACCTTTTGTTTGTTCTTTTTCATGCGAACTTCTGATTGAACACAAGCTACCTAAATTATCGATTTTGCACTACTAGAAAAAATGCCTTTTACGATGCTCATTGCACGTCGTAAAACGCTTAGACGACGTGCAAATGCGCGTCAAGGAAGGCCCTGTCATAAAGATGTCATAAAGAGAGACGACGCACATTTACGACTCGCTGTTATGACACGCAATGTGTATCAAGGACATAAAGGAAGACGACACGCATTTGCGTGTCGTAACCTTACGACACGCGTGTTTATGACACGCAATGCGTTTCAAGGAAGCCCCAGTCAAGAAAGGTCATGTCATAAATGAAGACGACATACATTTTTGCGTATCGTAATTTTAATTTTTTTAAATATATATATATATATATATATATATATATATATATATATATATATATATATATTATATATTTATTAATTTATAAATTAAATTTGCATTTAATCTCTCATAATACAAAAAATACAATAACTTGCACAAAAGTTAATGTCATACAAATAATCATTCTAATAGCAGATAAATGTAATACATTAAATAATCATTCCAATAGTAGATAAATGTAACATTTCAACATTTTTTATATAATTAACTAAATTATTAGCCAAATTTCCTAAACTACCAACATACTTTCTATGAAGAGCATTAACACTATTCTTTTCCATAAAAAAATTCAAAACCTGCATAATTAAATTAATGTTTAATCAGCTATAGGTCAATAAGGTAGGTTTAAGCAAAAGATTTTCATAATAGTAAGATTTTACTTACCACTGTTGTTGATGACATTGAAAGAAGCAGCCTAACAAAGACCCCCTTAGAAGGATTACTAGCACATAACTGTTGATACTTGATACTTTATTACTAAATGAAAACAAAAAGAAAGTTAAAAAGTAAACAAAATCAGAAGGTTTTAGTCAAACTTACAGAGGCTGTAATTTCAAATATTACTAAATGCAATTGATTGAACCACCTGCAGATTTACCATTTTGTCCCTATGAGATTCACTACCGGAACACATTCTACAGTTTGTAAACTATAATATATATATATATATATATATATATATATATATATATATATATATATATATGTATGTATGTATGTATGTATGTATGTATGTATGTATATATATATATATATATATATATATATATATATATAATCATTTTGAAAAGCAAGAAATTAGAAGTGGAATGTGATTGCATACCATCAAAACCAACAATTTTACATGCCCGTTTTTCCCAATTTCTATTAACGAAACCCTAATCCATGATTGCTTGTTGGTTACAAAAGCCAACAAGTAGTAAGGCAGGCTTGCAACCAACCCATCCACATTTTTTTCACATAAAATAGATACCTCATTCCATAATTACTAATATATATATATATATATATATATATATATATATATATATACACTTTAATTTTTTATGTTAAGTGATAAGAAATAAGATATGTTAAAAACGAAGTGCAATGTGCACTTACTGTTATGGACTCGAGCATATAAGAGTCTTTCTTCTTTCCAATATTCCAAAGGCCTCCTTTTAATTTTGCTGCTTCGTCTCACTCCAGATGTCCAAGAAGACCCCGCTCCTATCATAATCATCCCCATTATATCATAAATAAATAAACCATAAGAAGACCATCTACAACAGGGGGAAGAGAAGCATCAGGAAACAATTCCTAACTAACTAGATAATTATAATTATCTAATAACTCTACCGTAAACAATTCCTAACCAACTAGATAATAATAATTATCAACTCACGTTTCCATTATCTAAAAACCATATTCATTTTTTTTAAATCCAAGTAACTAACTTCATCATGATTTAAATTATTTTCCATAGGGGAATTCTTAGTATAAAAAAGGTAACACATAATTTAAATGTGTATAATTTAGAGTTTTAACTAACTAGGTTAGGACTTCAAAGGTAATCACATAATTCTTTATGTCAACTGTAATGACCGAAAAAACTGAAATATAAGATTTTTTTTTGGAAATTTTCCCTTTATTATTTATATATTAACGATATATATATATATATATAAGACAAAGATGAGAGGTTCTGGTGGTTTCAATCCGACCCATAAATTGTTTACTAACAATTGTATCATGATATTTTTATTGATTTTTATGGAATCTTATTTTTATAAATAATAATCTATGATCTCATTACATGACATGAAACGTATAAATTGGTTTGTCTAACTTCTTCTATTGACCCCACTTGGAATCGGGTGGTTCCAGTTCTATACTCCTACGGCAGAAAACAATGGCCGGTCCAATTTACACAACCACTATTCCACTAAACGACCCTACAATGATCACACGTTACAATGAGAAGCTTAACTGATCCAAGAACACCAGAAATCTGAGATGCTTAAAGATGTGTGTGTGCATACCTGTTCTTCTAGCGATGGCAACCATGGAGGTGTGGTACGGTGTATATTCTGATGAAAAAAAACAATAATTTAGGTGCTTGGGTCCCATATGTCGAAGGAAGAAAGAATTAAAGGAAGAGTAGCCCTCATAAAATCGATGGTTTCAAAGTGGAACCAATGGGTAATAAAAGGGAAACTAATGTGCAGGAAAGTACAACACAAAAGAGATGTTGCTTGTGGAAGTGCCTTGAAATTCAGAAAATAGGCATGGGTCAAGGGAATCCAAGACAGTCAAGATACGTGGGTACAACATTAAAAATATAATCAAATGGTCAAGTATTTAATATGCATGCAAAGGTATTATATGTGGTGGGCTGTTTTTGTCATGAACCAGAGCGTACAATCCACAAGGAAGAAAAGGTGAAACCTTGATTTTGTATGATTGTTGTTTAAAAGTGTGAACCTCCTTTTTACAGAGATAAAAGAAAAAAAGGTCTCCATGTATGGTTTATTAGGTCAAGTGAAAAGATCTTGGTCTAAATAATGGTTGTTTGGTTGATGTATGATGTAGAACATGGTTGCTTCTATGGATGATAATCTCCATGGGAAAGTCAAGAAAACTGATGAAGATTGATTGATTGATTGCTGCAAGATTGATGGGTGTGGTCTCTAGTATTTTAAATAGTCTAGCTTAAGGGGGCATGTTAAAGTTATAAGCTAGATTTCATTAATAGCATTTATTAGGTATTAAGGTATTACCGTTAATATTTGAACAATTGTGTTGGTTTGAATCAGAATGGTGTGAACCGTTGCATTAGTTAGGAGACTTTGTAACTGTCAAATGACAGTTATGCTATAAGAGTATATATATGTATGTAAATATTATGTAAAGGCTGTTGGGTTATATCAATAAAAAAGGTCTTTGTTGGTGTACAAACCCATCCTCTCGTTGATTCTCTTTCTCATATCTTTTCTGCAAATTTGTGTTAATTTATGCTTGATTCCAACAGAAATGGTAATGGAATGAGTCATTCCATTCCTTTGTTGACTAAATCATACCAAACACTATAAATGACCTACCTTAACAAAAGCAGGAACCCATTTTGTTTTCTCATTGTTTTCAAGTAATTGATCTTTTAACTTTTCCACTGCAACAAACCTTGACCAAGAAACATGAATAAACTAATCATGATACCACGTTATCCCACTAAAGATAATAAAGATGAGAAGGACATTCATGTCTTTTGCAGAAAAGATAAGTAAAAAGATGTACCAGCTGGGAACTGCTCTGTAGATGAGAGGGGTATCATATCTCCAACAAAAATGATATGAATGTGTAAAGCTTCCAGATTTGACCAGTCTGCCCTTATCCTGCATACATCCATAACAAAAGGTTAGGAATAATCATTTTACATAAATGCCCCTGTTGATAATTATATAACATTCAACTATTCTTGCCTTCACTGCTTGAATGATATCTTTATCTGCCTCTTTGACATATCGACCAATGAAATCGGTAACTTTTTCTATAAAGCAGCCATCATCATCAACTGCCATAACTAGATTTTCTCCCTGGATATACAAGAAAAAGTATAATTTGGTTATGGTAAAAAAGATATAAAAAAGGTACAATGCATATGTGATCATGTTTGCTTTCTTTCCGAGGGGTTCTGCATAGCAACCCACAACTTGAACCTAAAAACAAAAAAAAAAACAAAAAAAAAAAAAAAAAAAACAAGAAAGTTATAATTTTATGAGATAAGTAGTAGAAACAAGTGAGTGTAAATTGGTAAAAGATGTAAATTTGCTTACATGTGGGGGGCATTTTTTGGTAAGATGGGATAATATTGTTTCCTTGATTATCTCCAACAGAGACTTGCGCTGAAATTATGTAGACGATCGTTATTTGGATAGAGAAGAAGGTTGATTTCTTTGATTTGATTTGAATAAATACCTTATCGTCTTGGTCCTTTTTTGCAAGATTGATCATATAATCTAATGCCATCATGAATCCTGATTCCATCTGATCAACTCGTTTTCCAATCATGCCTTGTGCAACCAACAGCACCCTAACTCCTCAGATTCTTCATCCATTTGGTCATCTTCCAAATGTTGTATAAATAGACATTTGGTTGAATTGCAATTACGATGGTTGTGAAATGAAATGGTCTCCAAATCAATTCTACGAAGTCAAATGCTTGACGATTTGGGTAAAATCGAAGTATAAGTATATTTTTTTCATGTGCCCACTAAATGACTGATGAAATGCCACAATGAGAGAAATTCAATAAAGTAAGGAATTTGAAGTTGGAGTTAAAGCATGTCTTACAAGGTTAGCCATCTCTTCAAGAACAGACATAACCTGTTCACCTCCTTTAAGCAGATCTTTATACTGAGCAGGACTCCAAGTACTCCAAGTACAAGTTTTTAGCTTAAGACCTGATGTAGCAAAACGGATTACACAGTTTATCGGATTACACCGGATGCAGCAAAAGGGAGCAACATATAGGACTATGTTTCGTGGATCTGTGATTCAAAAACACAAACCCAATGTTTCATTCTTTAATCTTGTGGAATAATGGGGCTTTATTGGTGGCGGTGGTGAACCAGAGAGAAAACGAGGGGTGGTGAGTGCCTAGGTTGTTGTCGAACAGTAGAGAGAGAGAGAGAGAGAGAGAGACTTGTAGTTGGTCGTGTATTACCTGCATCAAATTGAAATTAATTAAGGGAATGTTGATTTTATAAGATGACTTTGAATCGACCTAGGTTTTCCTGTACTTGTGTTCGAAAAACCATTTGTTGTGGTTAATGGAAGAGAGAGAGAGAGAGAGAGAGAGAGAGAGAGAGAGAGAGAGAGATTTGTTACAGATAGGGTGGAGGCGGTGAACGAGATATTTGATGCTACTGATAAGAAGGAGATCGAGTAGATGTTTGATAATACTGAAGATGAAGATGAAGGACCTAGGGCTTTTTCTTGCTAAGTAGAAGAGGCGGGGGATTAATTTTTGGGATTCAATAGGCGGGGGTAATTTTTGTCAATATCATTTCCCGCCTAAAACGCGTATTTCACTTAAAAATTATAAAGTGACACGTTTACATGGCGCACATTTTATGAAAGGCGCCCTCCGCATTTTTTTTTTCTCTTTTCTGACAGTAACTTTAGGGCGCGCACAAATACGTGCCCTCTATCCTTCAAATTTTGCAAAACTGACATTATCTTTTAGGGCACTTACAAATGTGCGTCGTCTATCAGCGAGTGTCATTGTTTGCACGTCATTAAAGGGCCTTTTTCTTGTAGTGTTGTCTGTGAACGTCACCAAAATGATCTTTTGGGATTGCTTCGGCTTTCTTCTTGATTATGTAAAAGTCCCAAGCATATATTAGGAATGCAACATTCCATTTGTTAATATTTAAGTAAAAATTTGAACTAATCTTGGATTTTATTATGTTATCAAAGTTTTTTCTTATCCCTTTTGGCTCAATAATTTGATTAGAAATACTGAGAATCTTATAAATGTCTAAAATCAGAGTCTAATTTGACAGCAAACAAACTAACCACATCTATTTGAATATCAAAATTGAACCCTTACTATTGTCAACTTTCAAAAACTGAAGTTCATCTCCACTCATAAATAACTTAATTCTACCATTTGGGGTTGACAAATATATGTTTTAGTTGTGAAAAATTAGATGATTTGACTAAATATATATCTTCTTTTGCATTATATTGGTTTGAAACGAACTCAAAAGGTCAAGAAAATTTCTGTAAAAGTTGATTACCAAAGCATGGAGTCAGAATCAAAGCTGGTGTGTGTTTTGTTCATGGATATGGAAACACTTGCACCTTTTTGTTTGAAGGTATGTGGTTACACCTCATCATCTATGTCTTATATAATCATGACATTTGATTCTTTATCCCTAAATTTAGTGATATAGTTGACAATGTAATCGAACAATATACAAAAATTAAAGGTACACCTATTATCTAAATTTGTATGTTTGACTTTTTTTTGTCAAACAAAGTATTTTTTGATAAAAAAAAGAACAACTTTTTCCTAATTTTAGTATTTTCTTTCACCATTACACGAGAGATAAGTTATTTAGTCACAATTTTATGATTTTAGGATTTTATTTCACGATCTCAAAAGAAACAATTTAAAGTAAAAGTTTATAAATGATGCGCGTGTATATCTAAATTGTGCTTGTTGTGTGTATGACTTCGCATTCTTGGATTAGTTTTCTCAAGTTTCTTATATTAAATGCTTAGCAATAGTATTTTCTAAAATTATAGTGTTCATTCTTCTTTTTTTATTTAAAATGACCATTTTGACCTTTTTGGTCAAGTTTGTTATTCTTCCCAAAAAAAAATTTCTTTCATAATTTGCCATGCTTAAGTTGACAAAAAAATACTGATATGAAACTTTTAAAACAGAAAGTTTAATTTTTCTTAGGTTTTTTTTGTCAAAATGACCATTTTGCCCTTTTTGTCCAATTTGGTCATTTTTATTGGGTTTTTTTTTTTTTGTTTTTTTTTGTTTTGTTTTTGTTTTTTTTTTTTTTTTCCGTTTTTCACAGTAGGACTCATTTAAACAGATAATAAAAACAATACATTGGTATGTGAATTTTGTTATAAAAAGTCTATTTATAACCATTCCTATAATTTTTAAAACACGTAATAATTACTTTCATTTTTTTTAATTTAGCAATGTATTTTTTATAATACAAAGTATAATGTTATATTAAACATAAAAATACAAATATGTTGTTGCTTATTGTATTTACCTTATGAATGATTTGTAGTTTTTATGAGATACTATGCTAGTAACATAAGCTTTTTTGTTGTTAGGTTCCCAAAGAACAAGTATAGAGGAGAAAAATGGTTCAATTGGTGTTCGATTTGTATACTTTCTCCATGATGAATGCATCCAAAGCCAAAGCCAATCAAACAAAAAACAATAAAAATATGTCCTGTTTCATATATGCAATCTACCATAATCCGAAGGTTCTTTAATATGTGGTTGGTGTGTTTTGAATGTAGATATATGGAATAGCAGTTTACTTATTTTGAGTTAATTATAATAGCAACCTATTCCTACAAAGGCATTATGTTCCGGACATGCATCAAATATTAAAAAGTTGGATATATATGTCTTTTGAATATGGGAGGCTATGAAATACCTTCCAACCCCCGCAACGCAGGGGAGGATATGAAATACCTTCCAACCCCCGCAACGCAGGGCGATTCTTCCCTAGTTCTTTCTGAATGCAAAGAGGTATCCACTTAATATTTAATATATGGACTATTATACCCATGAATTCATTTAATTCATTTAATTATTGTATTGATAATTAATATATGGAAGTGATAATATGGGATCTTAGCTATTCTTTTGTGAATTATAATCCTTAACATATATACAAATTTATATTTCCAAAAAGATACCCACGTTCCACACCAGGCCTTGAAAATCCATAGACGGCACAACAATCTTCATCAAGCTTCAAAATCACTATTATTAGTCATTGAAAATTTTAGGAAAAACTCCAAAAAAAATCTTCGCATATTGGCTTGATAATGGATTTAGTCTTTATATATATATTTTTTATTAAATTAAGTCTAGAAAACTCGTAATCATATTCAATTTGGCTCTTTTACCAAGTCAACAAGTCATCCAACTTTCAAAAAATACGTTTTCGTCCCAGATTTTAATTTTTATTACAAATTTGATCCAAAATTTACGCTGTTGACCTTGATTTTAAATTTATTTATAAATTTGGTCTAAAATTTATATTTTTGATGCAGATTTCAGAATTTTGATATCAATTCATCCTAAATTTAGTTTTATTAGTAATTTTTTATTTCAAACTTTGGTTTCGAGTATGATTTTCTCTATAAAATCATATATTTAAAAAAACATATTTTGACATAAAAAATCTTATATTTTTAATATAATTTTTTTTTTAAAATTTGTATACGCAATACCTATTTATAAAAATAGTTATATATTATGTACATAAATATATACAAAACCCTTTTATAAAAAAATATATAAAAACCCGTATTATGTGTATATATATATATATATATATATATATATATATATATACACACACACACACATACACACACACACACATCATCTATTATGTACTAGAGTGTGCCAATAAGAATTTTGAAAAAATTAAATTATTATTTAATCAAATAAAGATAGATATTAAATTATTTCAAGAATTATATGTAAATTAAAAAATATCCATAATTATAATTACTTTTTTTATGGAAACTAATTAAATTTAACATGAATATCAGTAATAATATATTCTTTCAGAATAAATCTGCATTAAGGTTTTAATGTATGGGTTTGTTTTTTGTTTCATAACCCACTCTCTCAAAATACAACAAAGTTGTCTAGAACATGGAGAACGGGTACGTATTCTAGCATAATGAGAGTTTATTTTAGAAGAATGAGAGAATATTCTGAAGGAATGTAAGTGTATTCTAGTAGAATACAGTCTCTTTCTTTATAATCCATGCAACTTTGTTGCATTTTAACTAAGTCCATAAACAAAAAACGAAACAATACATGAAAACATAGATGCGAATTCATACTCAAAGAAAGTTATTACTGACCTAATAATAAATTTAATTAGTTTCATAATAAGAGAATTATAATTATGGATATCATTTAATATACAAAAAAATTATGGAAATCATTTAATATCTATTTTTGTATAAACATATTTATATCCACTCAAATAATTGTTTGTATATATTTCCTTAGTAAACACACACACACACACACACACACACACATATATATATATATATATATAATATGGTCCAAAAAATTTGATTTTTAATTATTAAATAAAACTATAGTTATCAAAACATCCGGTCAAGATATAAGTCATAGTATCCAAAACATCACAATCAATATGTCAATAAAAACATCAGAGTAAACATCCCAGGCTAAAGCAACATGGTGTGTGCAATGCAGTTATCCTGAGCTCTTCCCCTTGCTACTAGAAGTACCTGAAACTAAAACT